TTCAGCAGTTTCTTTTGCCTTTTACAGTCGGTTTCATCCCGGATTAGGCGAGGCATATTACGTGGAGCAGCGCATGCGCATCGCTGGAGGCTTCGCGAGCGCATAGCGCTGGCATTTTGCCAAGCAGAGACTAAGGAGATTGAAGAGACGCAGACATGGGTTCTCAGCGCGGTAGGATATACTGTAGCTGCGAAACGGCGCGAGCTGTTGCGAGGCGGACTCCCGCCAGTCCAACTTCCGCCTAAAGCGGGTCGAAACTTACTGTATATCTGTTTTATGTCATTTTTTCTTCTCTGATCTTCTTTAAACAACCTTCACTATTTATGGCTCAGATGTTCAAAAAACCTTCACTTTTGTCGCCCTGTCTCTAGACTATCGGAGGTATGCCTCCAACTACCTGATCAATTTCAGTCGGCAAATCTTTTTTGTTGGATCTTCTTTTACAGTTTTTGTACTCATCCATGATTGCATCCTACAATTTCTGCAAATCTTCTCTTCCCTTTTCAATAGTTTGATGCCACTTTGTAAAAGAGCAGTTCTTTCCTTCACTCTGTACAGTGGCCGTATTCATCAACGAACTCAGTGAGTTTCGCTACACAGTGGGTAATATACTTGGGGAAATTCGAAATTTTTTTCGAATATTTGGAAATCGATTATATCCGAAAGGTGAAAACTTCGAATATTCAACTTTCGAATTTTATTTGAAATCTCAGATTTTCGAATATTCGACTTTTCGAATCATTCGCATTCGAAAGATTTATTCGAATGATCGAATAATCATTCGATTTGGTCCAAAGTATAGTGGGCCATTTCGATTGCTTGGCTTGCAGCGTTAATCGTCAAAAATGCGCAAAGATCTGATCAGCTGTTGCTTGGCCTACAGCGATCTGCTCCATGTACGTAGGTAACAACAGTCTCTCCAGGGGCGGTATGCAACAATCACCCGTCCGGGCAAGTTACCCGGACAGGTAGTTTCCGCTTCATAGCTCGGTGCTCTGGGAATCTGTGTTCTTCCATGTTTGTTCATCTATTGGAGGCTCTACTAACTTAATATTGTAGCACAATGACAAGTAGCACTTTGCTGTATAAGCTGAGATGATTCGTTATTTGTATGATCCCGAACGGGATCTCCCATTGATCACGCTCATTTTCAAAGTTATTTATATCCACAAAAACTCAATGAAGACGTCACAGAGTTTTGCTGTCGATATATTACGACATGCTAGGCATGTTTTTAATAGCACAGATGAAATGTGCAAGTTTTGTGTTTTTCGATAGAGCCCAGTTCGCGAGCACAGGTTCAGCGAAGATTTTGTCAACTTGATTTTTCACTTATTTCTTTCACAAACATGCGTAGCACTGTCGTAATAAATGTACAGCAAAACTTTATGACGTTTTCATTGAGTTTTTGCGGATATAAATAACTTCGAAAATGAGCGTGATCAGTGGGAGATCCCGTTTGGGATCATACAAACAACGAATCATCTCAGCTTATACAGCAAAGTGCTGCTAATCATTGTGCTACAATATTAGGGTAGTAGAGCCTCCAATAGATGAACAAGGAAAGACACAGATTCCCAGAGCACCGAGCTATGAAGCGGAAACTACCTGCCCGGGTAACTTACCCGGACGGGCGATTGTTGCATACCGCCCCAGGTGCGGGGCACGGGAGTGAGTCTGCAGTAATGTGTAGATATCTCCGGATACTGTTAGTACGAGTAACTCGGGTGGAGGAACGACACCTCAATTCGGCATCGTCGCCGCGGGCTGCTGGTCCTTCCGTCCTACTGTTGTGCATCGTGTTAGGACCAGTGGCCCGCGGAGGCGGTGCCTAATTGAGGTGTTCGTTCCTCCACCCCGAGTAAATCCGGGTGCTGAGCACGGGAGCGTTAAGATGGTCAAGGAGCTAGTCTCTTTTCCAGGCAAACAAATTGTCACATCTGTTGCGGGCAGAATTGATTATTTTGGCCGATGCACCAAGCTACCAACGGATAGACTCTCAAGGGGTGTTTGCCTCGGAATACAATGTTATACTGCATAAGCAACAAGATTGGCGGTTCAGTGGTTTACTAGATTACTGTAACCAAGAGTGTAAGATTGTGATCTTAAGGGTTGTTTCAGACTGCCGCACTGACTGCAGCAGACTGCAGCAGACTGCAGCTGACTGCACTGACTGCAGCAGACTGCGATTATCAACCGCGATTATCAAAACAGCGTGATTCGCGCATAAGAAGATCATAAGTTCCATCAGAATTCTTCTCAATCAAATTTTGGCGATAGTTTTCTTTAATATGTTCGTATTTGTTCTAATTCTTCCTATCATTGCATATATCTGTCTTGTAACATTGTAAACCTTGTTGTCTTTTGCTTTTACGTATATATTGTTGTTGTTTGTTTAAAGCACAACCATTTATCCTCTCCGCCTGCAGGCTTCAGCCGCTGCGGTCGTTGCGGTCAGTGCGGTCAGGTGCAGTCTGCTGCAGTCTGCTGAAGTCAGTGCAGTCAGCTGTAGTCAGCTGCAGTCTGCTGCGGTCAGTGCAGACTGCTGCAGTCAGTGCGGCAGTATGAAACAACCCTAAGTGGTCAACATGTGATCAAGAGGAAGCGAAACTTCCAGGTGGACACATGAGACTCATGGCACGCTCCCTTAAAAGCATCGTCGGCCAAATTCTCGACTTCCTTGTTTTGATCGTTCCGGGACCTTCTCATGTCCCTGATTCCGAGTATGAATCCGAGAATCCGCGAAAACCTCGACAATCCCCGTTCCAGGAACCCGCAGGTCGGCTTTTCGGAACTTGAATGGGCGCGCACGGATGGGCGGACATGGATGGGGAAGGCGGTGCGTCTGAGGGTCCTCGTGCGTCTCCGTTATTCCGAAGCGATTTTCTCGCTTCCAAAGCGACATTTTGTGCCGCGACTAGGGCACTGGTTTGATAGAAGGCCCTACTATATATGCTGCCAAATTCAAGACCCTCAACTTAGGGCGGAAGATGCCTCTAAATTACGACGTCGTATGGCACGGGTATTGGCAATCATCGATTGGTCGATATTTCTTCAGAGTCGAATACAAGTTGTTGACAGTTGATATGACAGCACACTATACGCTATCATTTCTTTTTATCTTAAGCAATCTGACCATGGTCAGTGTATCATCTGAACGCATGCACCTCCATTCATCGGAAAAAAATGAAAATCAAATGTTCTGTGTCAAAACCTGTAATGTTTTATTGATTCAAAGAAAAAACATAAGCCATCACTGAAACTGCAGGTACAGTCTGCCCCAATCCCAACGGATCAAAATTGTCATGGCGGGAGCTCCGCGGCTAGTTTGCGTCAAGCCTACGGCATGCTTATCTGCTCTCTCTTCGATTTCTTCGCTCTCCGACAGTGCGCATATGCACCACAAAGTACTGGCGCTGCGTGCGCACAATTTTAGCAAACAGCTTGGCCTGATCCCAGTTGGGGCAGACCGTAGTTGCGAACTCCTAGGTGAGTAAATAGGGAACTGAGTAGTGCCATGGTGTACAGTCGAGTAGATTTCCCGCTTATATAATGTAGTGTGTTTGCACGGCAGGTAATATGCGGTGAAATTTGCGCGTGAACAAATAGTGAACAAAAGTCAGTAATGGCAGTAAAGCTAGCATCATACCTTCGATAGTCAAGAGATAGAGCCTAGAAAGTGATAGTTGTTTGAGTTCCTGCCCCCTATAAAAAGTGGAGGTTGTATCAGAATAATAGATGGAAATTTAGAGATTTGAATTAACCAGGAAACATGAAAAGCTTATATAAAGCAGAGGTTAGCACATCACCAAATTTGAAACCTTAACTTGGTGGTTTCCTACGCACAGTTTCGTCTTCAAGATTGCCGGTTAAATTGTGTGGCAACAAGAAAGTTCTTTGCAAATTAAAAAAAGCGCTGTTTAGCTGTGGCGGTAGTTGGGAGACTGAAAAAAGGAAAGCTTGTCACAACTGAATTGAACATGTTAAACACGTCTGAAAAGATATGTTGCATATCGACGCCAATCTGATTTTGACTCGTCCTTTGAAATTTCACCCCCGCATAGTCGTTTCGTATCCTGCGACGTTGTCTGGATTCTTCCGCTCATCATTCTGAGCAAGTATCATCTAAGGTGGACAAAATTCGTTGCAAAAGCACTGAAAGAGAACAAAGTAAAGAGAAACGCATTTTTTAGTGATTTTCACAAAAAACGGCATACGCAAAGAAGTAAGCTCGGCGATGTTGTCTACATCACAGATAGAAACAAGAACTATCGAATACACAAAAAAACGAGTGAAAAAAGTTGAACTCTTTAATTCGTCTTGCGACGTTGTCAGCGTGAAAATAGAGATCAAGAGCTTTGATGTGATATATAAATTGTCGAAATTGGGCTCCGAACGACGAAGAAAAGGGTACCAGAGCCAAATGCCCCGCGCCCCGCATTTGAGGTAGCGAGTTAGCGCGCAACGCGTGGAGACGCAGACGAGCAGCGGAGACAGACCAGAGCCGGCGGGACATTTGGCTCTGGTCATTGATCTCCGCAGGGTCACAACGAAACCCTATTATTATATGTCGTTGTGATCCTCATGAGACGGCCAGGAGCACTGACAACGTCGCGGGTCTTAAAAATTACTTCATAACGAGATAAATCAGCATTTATGTGGCGACTACTTGCGCAAGATTTGAGCGCAGTTCCTCTTTTTACTGAACTTCAGCGGCTTTCATGAACTTCCAACGCTCAATCGCAGCTTAGAGAAAGGTTACTTGAGAAATTTTGTCATAGTTTTTAAAGAATTTTTGAATAAAAACCTTTTCAGCGAAAGAGGTCATGAAAACGCAATCCTTAGGTTTTTTGAGCTTCTTTTGAATGTCACTGCCTTATCTGCCTCATTCACATTCATCCCTATCTGGTTATGTCATTAGTTATGTCATCATATTTGGGGCTTCGCCCCGGATGACTTCTGTACCTCTCTCCAAGTGAAGGTTGTATTCTATCGTGACGCTCAAAGTGAAGGTTACCAGAGTACATGGCTCTATGTATCGAAGGTATAGCTAGCATTTTGCGCGCGCAATTGGCCGGCGTCATAGGCGTAGCTATTTGTTCACGCGCACATTTTACTTGGAGTGCAAACACGCTAATATGTTAAGCGAAAAAATTGATCGAATATATGTGAAACGTTCTCAGAAATCATCCCCGGTATCCATATCTTCGTCTGCGTCCATATCCTCACTCGTCTTCTTCACGTCTTCCTTGATGAACTCACGAAGTTCCTCAAGTAAGTCCTAAATGCATACTACCTGACCTATAGGAATGAAGAGGAGAATTAATGGAGATTATGCGTTGCAAACTACATATGTGGTGCAGAATTTACCCTTCAAAAGTTCACATACGAATGTACACAACAGAAAATACCCTTCCTTCTACGCTAGAATTGGACTGACCAGCATCTTTCTTCCTACTGGGGCCCCATTCTCCTTGCATTTGTTCTCGTAGCCCAGGACTCGTGTAGCATGAATGACTCTCAGCTGTTTTAAAGGCAAAATGGCTTTAAGGTAGGTGCCAGACTAAGCGACTGTTTTGTTCAGCTGCAGACGGTCACCGCCCCTGCCCTTGTTCCCCACTGGTTTTCAGATATCTTCATGTAATGTCTGCAGTCACCAAGACCCAATGGATGTAGAGAATGCAAAAGTCCAAGTTCCAAATAACTTTAGAACGCACATAATACCTGACTTCAATGCATCATGTGTATACGCATAGCGAAAATTGAAGGCGAGATGTATAAACCTAACAAACTCAAACATCAACTTACTGGGTGGATCCATCCAGTTATCCCTGGCTCTGATACCTTGCTGTAGTCTTTCTTCAACAGTGTTTCAGCTAGAGGTAATTTGATATCGCACAAGCTATACCACATCTGTCGTACCCGAGGGAGACGCCCTGAAAAACATGCACTTTTGAACTTCGCAACAGAATAGCCTTGATGAAAACATGTTAGCAGAAGAAGATGTAGTGATCCAAACAAATACGGCATGCTAGGAATAGTGTTTCAGTGATAAAAGCGAGATGGATTTTCTCGATTTCTTAGACAGACCAGGCACACCAACGAACAACGGAATGATGCACGACCTGACAAGGTTTCTCACACACATCTAGGAAAATCCTTTGGAGATTTTTTCGCGCTTCTGGCGAGTGTAGCTGACGAAAAGAAAAGCACTATGCGGAAGTAATGCGGAAAATGAGAGCAGCTTGCTTTAATGAGCGAAATACGTCGCCGGTAATAATGTATTTATCTGAGCGTAACAGACACCTTGTTGATATGTGTAATGTACTATAGCCGACGCATCCGACTGATAACCACGATCTGATGACACCTTTAGACGTTGTCTTTCTGGAATTCTGGTGTGCTGCCTATAAGCAGATTATTGGTTTTTACTAGAACCAGAAAAAGTAGTACCTAAACGACACCATCAACGTTTGGTAATTTTTCGCCTCAGGGTCTTTCCGTGGATCGTAGCCGAATTTGCACCACAGCCTACCCCAAGGTCCTGACTGAATGTAAAATGCGTATTTTTGCAGTAGTGTTCTGTAAAAAATATATCGTGTCTATGAAGAAGAGAATGTTAGACACGCACTTCAACAAAGTATATTCGAGCCCTGTCTTGTATGCAATAGCGACTCTCGTCCACATAGGTCGTTCTCGATATAGAGCTGCTATCATTTTATGAGGTTCTTCGTTCTTGCATCTGGTTCAAAATTTCATAATTCGAGCTCAATTTACAGAAAGAAAGAAAGAACCTGAAATCTGCATCCGCCACCGCCTCTGGTGTTGGCGCATCTGGGAATATGTCATTTGCTTGCACAGTCACCGAAAGCGCTTTTCTGTGCAATCGCAAATCTAGAAAAATGTCCACATGTCCAATAGGATTGCTCAGATAACGTACTCTGTCCATGCCCTGTTTTTCGCCGACTCTTTTCCAATGCGAAATCAGTGTCGCGACAGAGGAGCTTATTCGAGGGCGTATTGTAACGGCTAAACTGGTACGGAGGAAGGTAGAGTGGCGTGTATCCGGAATGAGCATCAGGCCTGTCCCACCTTGAAGCAAGACTTATAGAAAATTACCAGAAGTAATGCAAAAATCGCGAATTGAACTAGTAAATAATCGGAATTCTGTACGGCAAACTTTGAAAGAACCAGAAATGTGCAGACATTGGAACAGCAAAACACTGCCTCACCAACATAAGGCACCCGGAAGGTCTTGCGGTATGAGGCGAGGTATTAAATCGTCAAATTCGTCCTTGTCTTGCCGTTTCTTCAACGGCAGATATTGGAAATCGCACATTGTATCGAAAGTATAAACATAATTAACCTGAAATGTCAAAAATGCTGGAAGATTTGAATTGGATATCATTGATCCGTAATTCGATTGATTCAGTAACGGATAGTTCATTTTAGAAGCCTTATAAATTTTAACTGGGTTGAAATGGGGAAGGGTAGACAATAAACCTCATAACTGAAATAATCGACTGACCAGGCCTAAAAATTTTGTTTCAATCACACTTGGTTTCTTCTTCTTTCGCCGAATCTGCATTATCACACGAAGAGTGCCAGAAGTCACCTGAAGATTAGAGTGAACTTTGCTTTCACTGAATCATCTGGAGTGGCGCCATAATTGTCTGAAAACCGGATCCAAAATGGATATTCACCGTATACAGAGTCGTACACTTCACATGCGCCCACTTAGATACATGCCATACTTGATCCCTCGCTGTTGATCAAATAACTGAACTGATCAACAGCGAAGTGGAAGAAGTGAAACAAGTATGACGTGTGCCTTGCGTGTCGGCCGCTTGGCACATGCACGGCCCTCATCTCGATTCTTGGATTCTCCAGTTGGATTGAGACCATACTCCGACACTTCTTCCGACGGCCCGCGCGCTTTCATGAGCCTACCGTGCGAGCGGCGCGCCTAGATTTGTGGGCGTGGCATCGTTTCCGACGAGCGGCGCGCTATCGAAGACGAATTCGAAACGCACAAGCGTACCCTGATCGGCGACGCGGCAGCAACCGCAGTTTTTTCCGCCGAGCGCGACAGCGAGCACGAACTTTGGTTTTTAACGCTTTTTGAAGTTTCAGATGTCGATCTTAGTACGCTTGTGTTTTCCGAATTCGTTTTCGACAAGGGTTTCCGAACTCGATCAGCATCAAGCACTATTGTCACAGAGTGGAATCACACTTTGTAATGTTGATGTCTGGAAATTTCGGGTACAGCCATGCGCACATAGTAGATGGTTTTGGATTTCGTCCGCGAATCTCCAAGAGGCTTTCTCCACAGTCTCATTTCACCGAAATATCACGCAATGGAGAAGCATCGTTACATCTGAGGGTCAAATTCCCACTGACGGATTTGGTCACGACAAAATGTCACCTTTACTAATTTAGAAAGGCCGCACAGACTGAAAAAAGGCACTGAATTGCGAAATGCTTGCTCATCCGCCGGTCAGCAAATTATGTTTGGGGTCCTAATAAAGAGTCAAAGAGTCTTTGGGGTCCTAATAAAGAGTCAAAGTTGCACATGGTGAAAAGTTGAGCCTTGGTGACTTCGGGGAGCAACCAAATCGAGGACAGCCGAAAAGTGAAAGGCGAATTATTTATGGTGATTTGTTTTATTGCAAATCCACCCCTACCGCGTCTCGCAATGTCCTCTGGCATCAAACAATTTGTATATAATCGTCACAGTGAGCAGCCTATGTAAGCAAAAACTGGAAAAGAATCTGAAAACTATCTTCCACGTTACCTGCTGTACCCTAAGCTAAAGCAGTTATGTATATACAAAGGCGTGCCATGTCGAAGTAGCTGAATGGTAACCTTCAGTGGCCGTATTCATCAACGAACCCTGAGGGTTAAACTAACCCTGGGGGTAAGTTTAACCCTCAAGGTTCATTGGCCGTATTCATCAAACATAGGGTAGAGTTCACCACGGAACGCAATCCACCCTTATCGATCAGCGAACCTGTAGCCGTATTCCGAACCCTGAGGGTTAAACTAACCCTGGAGGGTTAAGGCGTCAGTTACGCGTGCGCTGTGCAAACTCACATAACGGAATGCCTAAGTACGTGCTAAATTCACTTTATACTTCTACCCTTTCATTGTTATAGTAGTATAATCAACGAATGAGCTTCTAACACTGGTTTTTATAATACTACGTCTCTAGCATATTCGCGCAGCATCCAATCTTACAGCGTGAGTTTATTTTCATGAGTGCAATTGTGCCGTGTAAGTTCTACTCTTGCGCAGTTCGTTTCATACCGGGCTTGTACTACTCTTTTAAGGGTCAGTGCGTGTTATCATAAAGGAATTATTCTGTTTTGGCACTCGTTGGAGTGGAATGCGCAACCATTTTTCCTCGTTGCATTCATTTGTCACCAAAACTAGAATTCTTTTTCTCGCAAAGTCAGTATTTTATGTGTACTTTGAATTTGAACATAAAACGAAGTCGAAACTAAATACTATAACAACAACTAACACTAAATACTACAACACTCGTTGATCGTTTTCCATAAAACTTTCAAATGCGAGTAAATGTTTGTATGAAATGTTAGGGTAGAGTTAACCCTGCTCTAAGCTAGGGTTAAATTAACCCTGATGAATCACGTAAGTTTAACCCTCCAGGGTTAGTTTAACCCTCACGATTCGTTGATGAATACGGGTTAGTCGCTTTCGGGGTAAAATTAACCCTCAAGGTTAGATTTAACCCTCAGGGTTAAGCCTACCCTGTGTTTCATGAATACGGGTTAAACGCTTTCCAGGGTTAAATTAACCCTCCAGGGTTAGTTTAACCCTCGGGGTTCGTTGATGAATACGGCCACAGAACTAGTCCACTCTGAACAGAGACCTGATGCGAAAATTTCGGTGAACTTCGGCGGAGGCCGTTTAAGCACAGCCGCCGCGATTCTTTTTTCACGAATAATGAGCGGCAATTCAGGAACTTCACACCCCAGTAGCTGATCTGACTTTGTCATAAAGATCCTCATATGGTTTCAAGCCTCAAAGTACATATTGCATATAGTAGTAGTGTAGGACTACAACTAGTTTCTAACGAATTCCAGCTTTTGGTGAAAACTACACCCAAAAACCAATTTGAACTTTTCTGCTTTCTACCCTTACAAGCAGGTGAGACCAGAATTGGCAACAATTTTGCAAAGAAGCCGTAACTTTTCGCTTCTTAGAGGATATTTAGTCGAAAGCACCAATCCAAATGGGGCATAAATCATCTTAAAGTGCTTGAAACGCTGATTCCAAATCTATATTTTCTAGCAGCGGAGCGGTTTTGTATAAGGAGTTATGAGGGGTGTTTTCCTCTAGGGTTCAGGCGCCCACCAGCAAGTCTCCCCCTATCTATGAGCACTGTAGAGGAGTACCAACTGTGGCAATTAACCTAGTGGTAAGTGACTTGTTTGATAAGGAGAGTGTCAAGGTTTTAATTCCCTCCGCATGCAACTTTATCGCAATTTTGGCAAAGTTAAGCTTTTTAATGGTTTTAGACTCCTAAAGCCTGAAATTTCTGATGATACGAATCGAAGTTATAAATGTTAAAAAACCAAAATACCGAATATTATAATCCTTACTGTGATCTTCATTCAAAGTACTTATCACTAGGCTAGTTGCCACCAGTGGCCGTATTCATCAACGAAACCCGTGGGTTCCGGAACCCACTGAGTTAGTGCTTTTGATGTCATCAAAAGCGCTGACCCAGTGGGTTCCGGAATCCACGGGTTTCGTTGGTGAATACGGCCACAGTTGATACTCCTCTACAGTGCTCATAGATAGGGGGAGACCTGCTGGGGGTCACCTCAACCCTAGAGAGAAACACTTTTCATAACTCCTTATACAAAAGCGCTCCGCTGCTAGAAATTACAGATCTGGAATCAGCGTTTCAAGCGCTTCAAGAAGATATATGTCTCATCTAAATTGGTGCTTTCGACTAAGTATCCTCTCCTTGTTAGTAATATTAACAACTGAGTTTATAAATTAAGGCTGGAAAGAATACTTCATCGGTAAACAATCAGCACGTATAACTCCGCTAAGCGGTCTTACTTTGCTTTCCACCATTGTCATACATCTACTTGACTTTACTGATCTTCCACTTTATTGTGGAACATCACCGGTACGCTAAACGCAAATAATGCATGCAAGGAAGTCACAAAAAACCAAGGGTTCCAGTTCTGCCCTTCCTACATGCTCCAACAATCGTACGCTTGAAAATCGGGATGAATTCGAAACACACAAGCGCACAAGATCGCCGTCTGAAACTTCAAAAAGCGAAAAAACAAACACACAAGCGCACAAGATCGACGTCTGAAACTTCAAGAAGCGAAAAAACTAAGTTCGTGCTTACTGTCGCGCTCGGCGGAGAAAACTGCGCGTCGCTGCCGCGTCGCCGATCAGGGTACGCTTGTGCGTTTCGAATTCGTCGCTATCGAAACCTGCCGTGCGAGCGGCGTACCTTGCTTTCGGCGGGCGGCGCGCCATCGTGAGTAACCGTGCGAGCGGCGCCCCATGATGGACGTGTCAGGATCCACAATGACACGACGCTTCCGCGCGTTCTGCATCATTTTGAAATCCTCGTCGTTCGTGGGTTACCACCTCATCCCGTCGTCGCCCTCTCCAGTTCATGACTTCTTTTTGTTTTCTTCTCCATTGCGTCAATCTGCCTATCCTTCATGTCCTTTTCATTGGTTCTTTACCCCTTTTGGATCTTTTCTTTTCTTTCCTCAATACATTTGAAGTATGAACGTCAGAAGCAAAACACATCTGCGGTATTATAAGTCTATTGAATGCACTAACAGTACACTTCAGAATGCTTTTTGCATACTCAATTCAAACAAGCAAAAGCATTGAGGGCACACATGCACATCAGATTAATTCATTCACCTTCAAAATAATCACTCTCAATGGATGTTTCCAGACTTCGGTGAAGACATGATGGGGTTCGGGCACGAGGAATTAGATCAATGGAATAGCCTGGACTTAAATCAGTCTTTGTGAGTGACTAAAACAGGATCCGCAAAAACCAAAAGATTTGCATTTCAGATTTTACAGAAACCTTAGAGATACCGAAAACGAGAGAATGGAAGCGCTTGCGGAGCTAAGAAAACAACGACAAGATTGGCGACCACAACTATTCAAGTCCCTCCAAATGGCTCTGTAAGTCCAAAGATCCTTTACATATTTCACAGTGAATGAGATTTTGATTTCAGACGAGATATACGGTCCTACAATTACGAGTCAGGGAAATGGATAGCCAATAAGGTGAGAATTTGTGCACACCTAAAATACTTAAATAATGATCTGACACTTCTTTCAGCGCCAGAAACGTGCCGCACCAGCCGAAGAATGAAGTTACCGAGAAAGGATTACGTAGGAGCAACTCCAACATCTGCCCAAATACCTTATCGAAATCTCCTCAGAATAAGTATTGTTTCGTCTAGGTTTTTCTTTTTGTGTTTTCTTTTCGAGTATTGTTTAGTGTCTTATCTCTTTAGTGTTCAATCTTTCGTAATATACTGATACCTTGTTTCAAATGTTCATCTAGATCTCGGTGTTGCCTCACTGTCATGATTCTAACAGGATTCCGGTTTTTTCCCCCGACAGATCATTCTTACCGGTACCGAACAGTGCTTTCTCAATATCAGCATAGCTGATATGCTTTACGTGTTTTCGAAAGGGTGCTGCGTAGAAGATATTGATGATATTCCGTAATAGTTATTGTCTTTTGAGTTCTTTTGCTTTTGATCATGTGTTATGTCGTTTTTCTAATTGTGTCGACAATAAAAATCCCATCACGATATTTGTATACATGTTTGGCAATAAATCTGACACTGTGAGGTCTTATTTCAGTGAAAAAATATGAATTTTATCAACGAGTGCTATGTGTATCATATTAGCGCCGTACAACGCTTTCGAAGGAGCGGGCGAGCGGCGCGCCTTCAGTGAGCGAGCCGCGTACCTTCATTCTACGGGCGGCGGAAGGCATGAACGCTCGCACGCTCAAGGCGCGCGGGCCGTCGGAAAAAGTGTCTGAGTATGCAACTACGACACCACCATGATAACTTATTGATAGACTGAACTCTCGCAAAATTCATATGCTACTGAGAACGGCTCGATAGTCTTTCCCAGGGTGTATCCCATTATTGTTCATTGCTCATTTATTACATAGGATGTCCTATGCATTAACCATCAACAGACAAGTGCTAGAAAACATAAAAACCATTTGTTAGTAACAACAGACTACAAAAACGAAGAGAGAAGTAGAAAAAAGAAGTTTTTTTCTTTTATTGCGAAAGCAAGTAGTCCCTTAAAAGCGTCTTAAATTGGGAAAGCTTCACGGGAAGCATTCCTATTCTCGAGTCTATCCAGATCACTACTAATTCTGTTAGCAAAGAATCTTCTCCTCACGCTTCTCCTTGCTCTAGGTATCACTTTCTCCTTGCTCTAGGTATCACTATCTTCCTTGAACCTCCCCTAGTTTTAGAACTTCTAGTTTCAAACAAGGAGAACGGCTCAAGTTGATAGTACTTGAATATAATCTTATGTGCTGTAATAAGATCAAACATCCTCCTTCTCATGGCTAAATTAAATAACCCGAGTTCCTTGTTTCTGAGCATCCCCTTGGGTAATTGTTCATACCGAAAGCCTTTGGTCCGTATAAGCAATTTCCTTGTAAAATTATGCTGTACTTTCTCAAGCACCCGATTGAAGTGGCTTTTGTAGGGTTGAATACTACAGTACCGTACTCTAGTAATTGTGACTGTCAGTCACGCAGTCGCCGCGCGCGAGAGCCTCAGATACGCGGAAAACTCGGTTAGCCGACTCGCAAAGCAATACTGTTCCTCCTTTACAGAGTTTTTACGATATTACACCAGTTTTTATTGTTTAATGAATGTTTGACCATAAAACTTGTAGGAAAAGGTAAAATAGTGAGAAATAAGGAAATTACCGTGCTTCTGATCAGGAATTGTAAACTTTCTGTTCAATATGATAACTTGACCCCCAAACATTTCCTCTGGGACTTTTCTTTGGCCCTGCTGCCTCTCCCCCAAGTTACTGTAACGCCGCGTCGCGGCAGTTTCTAATTGACACTCACAAGTAATGGGCACTCTGCCCCCCCCCCCCCTTTTTCCACCATGTAAGGTTTCCTAGGCATCATTCACTCACCACTGCATCCACCTTCTTTTCTGAGACTGAAGCACTCGTGTAGGGATTCTCTGGTGTGTGTCGAAGCTCCAGTGCGTGACCGCAGAAGTGATTCTGAAAAATTTGAATGCGAAAGTAAAACGAAGACCCGAACACCAGCAGAAAGCTTAGATGCTTGGAAAGCTTGTTCAGTTCCATTACCCACATGCGAAATCTTTGGCAAACCTCCAAGTGTTTCCAGTGCGTGATCAACATTCTTAATTATGCCTGGATATTGAATCACGATAAGCTCATTCTGTATCGGTTCATGTTGTATCTTCTGATAAGAATACATCATCTATGGCAAAAGTTTCCCAATACTGTCAGATATACTACAGAATCTAAATTGATATTTTTGTAAGGCAACATACCCATAAAAGCGCATTTGCCTGGTATGATAGCAAATATCTACTGCCAAGTCGGAGATAGGACGACTTCTCTAACATTTATATACAGTCAGCATACTCACATAGCTCTGATAACAACAGATATGGAAAATGTTCTAAGTGAACAGACATTTCTAAGAAACTACAGAATCAATGATAAAGAGCAGGATCCCACGGTGGTGGGAAAATTGTTTCTATCAAATAGCTCTGCACAATCAATTGCCGAATGAATGACATCACAGAAATATAACTAGAAAAACATGGACAAATCAGAAAAGAGAAATCGCTGGGATCGGAACTCTTGAAAAGTTTTTGTTCATTATGAGCCAAACTGTTTTGCATTTCTTGCGTCTCATAAATGTCAGCCGTCACACTTTCCGAAAATCAAATATACAATAAGTGCAAACTCATCGCATAAATAATCAAAAGATGATAAAGCAGAGTTGACTAAAAATTGATTCACGCATCTCATTAAAATGCGCGGATTCTCAGGAGCACCGGAAAATGGAAAACTGATAACCATTCATAGAGATTTGTAGATGATGAACAGCAAGCAGAACATCAGCAGTACAGCAACCACGAGTAAAAGCAGGCGATTCTGGATTACCCTAAAGTACTTGCGCGTTGAGACTGAGACAGATGCGAATAAGCAGATACTGGAACTAGTTAGTGTCTCTATATTTTCTGACAACCAACTGGTAAAAATGAGGGCTGGTTACGCATTTACGTTTGTCGAACTTTTCTAAACCACAGCGCTGAGACTTGTAGAACAAATTCTGACGGAATCAAAAGAAAAAAATGTTCTTCTGACAGTGAGGTGAGGCAACTTGGAAAGGAGAGCAAATGTAATGCCTAATAAGGGGCCTTACCTAGAGTTCCCATATTGGGAATAATTGTTTGCATCCGCATTGCATTCGCAAGGCTTTACAGTGGTTTGCCTTCCGTCGCGCAATTACGTGCTAAACTACCTCAACAACTACAACCGATGTCAATCAAGTGCTCCTTTTGCCGTAGCAGCTACCCGTCGCAGCGCAGGGGACTAGCGCGGCGACCCGGGTCGATGAGGGATCGTTCAGACCGCGCCGGAATCCGTCCAAACCCGCCCGAATACGTCCAAATCCGCCCAAATACATCCGAATCCGCCCGAACCCGCCTGAACGCCGGACCTGCCAAAGCGCAGCGGATATGCGGCAAATTGGCATATTGGAACACGCGTGGAATACTGCCCGCGTGGTGCATATATCTTAGTCACATGTAGCTCAACGTTACATACCGATCTGCTTTTGCAACTACTCCGTTAAGAAAGATCAATCGCATGCGTGCTTCATGCCAATTTACATGCAATCTGCTGCGCTTTGGCAGTTCAGGCGATTTCGGACGTATTTGGGCGGGTCTGGGCGAATTTGGACGTTCGGGCGGATTCGGACGGGTTTGGGCGGGTTTCGGCGTGGTCTGAACGACCCCTGAGGTGAATTTTTGATTGTGCAAGCTATACGGGCGACGCGACGATCTGCGGATGCGATTTGACGTGGAAAAGGGAGCAGGTTGGCACAGGGCGTACAGGCAACGTCCAGGCAAATCCGTAACTATGGTATTTCACGTGAAAAGTAATTTTGGGACCCTAACTAAGACAGTGGCCAAGAGGCAGCGCGAATGATTCACTAACGGCTGAAATAAGGATATAAGGATATATAATTCGGCGTCTTCAATACCCTCTGGGCATGCGCCGAACGCACTCTACTTCATGGTCGAAGAGGCTGATGAATGTGTGCGGGCCTATTACAGTGACTTGCGCGGGCCGACCGATTACCAAGTCAGTGCTTTTATCCTCCCACATTACTCTGGTACCAATATACCGGCTCCGAAGGGTAGAGGGCTTGATTAACCCAGGGATCGAACCTGTGTCCGATCTGGTCATAGCGGCGGCTCATACCACTACGTCACTCGTCTCCACGGCTGAAATATTTGCCTCCAAAACTGGGCCCCAGGATCGTACAAATGGACGACTTGCAGGTGCTTGCATACTTTCGCGCGGGACCCACGCGAAACTTTAGTTTGAAGCCATGTGAACATGTGGCAAGGCGTCCGTTAATACGATCCTGTGGCCGTATTCATCAACGGACCCCAGTCGTTCTTTCCGGGATATATTATCCCTTTATGTAAAGTGTATATTCTAGATACGAAAACATTCTTTCATATTAGCAAAAATCACCATAAATGTAGTGCCAGCTAGGTCGCATAAGTCTGCCCCAATCGGATCTGACCGAACTGGTGAATTGCGCTCTTGCAGCGCTACGGATTCGCGCCGCATACAGTCTGCCCCAAACGGGATTAGGCCGAACCGACGGCTGGATTTGCGCGCTCGCAACGCCAGATATTTGCGCTGCATACGCGCGCTGTCGCAGAGAGCGAAGAGACTGAGGAGAGAGCAGACTAGCCAGCCTTAGACGTGACGCAATGCTCTCGCGACACGGGTTCTCGCCATGCCAATGTTGGCCTGATTAGGATTGGGGCAGACTGTATGCGCACTGTCGGAGAGAGCGAAGAGATTGAAGAGGGCAGACAAGCGGCTGTAGGCGTGACGCAAAACCTTAGCGACGCGGTCCTCCCGTCATGCCGATTTTGGTCTGATCAGAATAGGGGCAGACTGTAGACTCGTCTACATGGTTATGATGAACAATGAGAAAGTTTAGTGAGAAAAAAGCTGGGCAGTAAACCCACCTGCGTATCATTGTGTTCAATAAACGGTTACTCCTACCCAATTCCACATCGGCTCCACGCATTCTGTCACGTGCTCGCCCGATCGTCTCTCTTTGCGACGATAAATTACCCAAAACTTCGGCTCCGATCTAGAAATGCCGACTTCCCATGATAAAATACAAAAACTCAAAGTGATAATGAATGAGAATATAATATGGAACAATGCAATGATGAGGATGAAGCATCACTTAAACAGACTTGTTCAGTTTCGACAGCCATACGATATGCATCTTGCAATTTCCTGGATGACCTTTCCAGACGTTCCGTATTTGCTATAAGTTGCTCCTCCTAGTATAAAAATTAGCTTTAGACAGATGGAAAATTGATGGACGTGCCTGCTGATCCATCTCGACTGCTTCGTCATATGCCATCAATTCTTCTCGATTGGCTGACTCTCTGAGACGCTTAATCGCTTTATCCAATTCTCCATCCAGGAGACGCTTATCGTTTCGATAACTTCGCACTCTCAGTTCGTACTTGTTTCTTTCCGCACTGAAATTTGGTCCTTCAAATCCAGCTGCGAGTAAGTCAACTTTGAACAAACCTCCCAGAAGCGAGATCGCGCACAGCAAGTTCCATTTGTTCTAAGAGATCGGCTACTTCCGCTAGCACCTTCTGCATGGACTGTACACTAGCTGGCCTGTCGGAAACTGGCAGAGAGGGAAGACGTGCAATTGTGGCTGTTACCTGCAACATGCGTATGTAGTCTCAAATGCGAAGTAAGGTTCATATGGCCCAATCAAAACAGCCTCAAAATGCCTCTTCACGTTTATCTTACAGAGCTGTAGCCCACAAAAAAAGGGTAGCAGAGCATGCCAAATTGCTGTACATTAGAAGCGCCTCTAAAACCTGATTCAACTACTTCCCCATCCGTTACCGCTCTTGCACAAAGTTGAGCGTTCAACTTTCTGTTTATGTACGTACCAGTGGATAATGTGCATCAAGTCAGAATAAATGCGCGTATTAGGCTTCGTGAATGAACGGTGGTGTCGCAAAAAATGCCGGGACTACGGTCAACTTGAAAAGATTTTTTGCCATCAATGAAAAATCTTGATATGCAAAATGATTCCGGAAAGCTCAAATTTTGTTATTGAGTATCTATATGTCTTTTTCCTTCTAAGATTAAACATTGCACATTACCATAGATCTTTTCGAAAGTATGCGTGGTAGACCTAAAAGGGAATTTTTCGAAGCTCTTTAAAAACTCAAACATAGATCGTGTGTAAATTCGCGACGACAATTTTGACTCCGGTCTTTGCGCCAAGGAGAAGGAAACACTCATACAAAACTGCATCACCTCATCTCTCAGCTAAGTTTCTTCCAATGTCTAAATACTGTCATATGTAAGCAGAAAAACCATTCGAGTAGGCTATTTTCTGGTAACAGCGCTTCTTGAAACCCTACCACAAAGGTTCCACACGTTTTGGAAAAATTCTGATCTCGCAGCTGATATACAAGAGCTATGATTCCTAAATCCTCTGCCGTAATCCCACAGTAACGAAGATTTACCGGTGCTTTGCTGCATAATCTGAATCTATGAAGCCTACCCTACAAAATGATCGGCAGAAAACCCCTTAGCAGGAGGGATACTTGGGTCACAGTAGAGACATCCTTCTTAGGAAACCTGCGTTACAACAGAAACACTAAAGTCCCACAATAAGCATATTCAGACCGCTTCCTAACTGTGTCTCAGATACTAAACAAATGATTTCAAGCGCTCAACTTTTGGCAAGGAATTTAGGTAAAGGAAGCAGGTTTTGAACTAAACCAACGTTTTCATGCGCTTCCAATGATACACACGTTTCCCAATCTGCAATGCAACTTGGCATTCCTCCCTTGTCAGTAAGTTCTCTGTTATGGGGCCAGGCCTGTGTGGCCTAGGTTCAAGAATCAACCAATGAATTTTGAATCTGTAAAGTAAACGTTCCGGCAGATCTGGCAAGCGTAACAAACAAGGATACCGCGGCGGTATCATCAATCTCCTAACCAGTAATCGGGCGCTGTCTCCATTTATCAGAAGAAAGCGCTCGTTTGTATCAATGAAACAGCGCCGGACGAGACAGGAAAACTACTAGATAGCGCCTCCGGTGAGGCACTAACTAAGGCACTGTCCAGGCGGCAGCGCAAATGATTTATCTACAGGCGACACATCTCCAAACATAGTATCACTCAACATAATCTCGGTCAAAGGAAGGCTACGATAAACGAAGAACTACGATAAACGAAGAAATGGTATTTGTAGGAAAAGTAGGCAAGTAAAAATGAGGAGTTTAAAGGCACCATCCTCCCAGATTCTCAGCTTCCATGTTTTCGTCGCTCCGGGGCCTTCTCATTCCCTGATTCCGAATATCAAGTCGAGAATCCGCGAAAACCCCGACAAATCCCGTTTCGTAAAACCCGCAGGGCGTTTTGTAGAACGGTGATTGGTTAGGTGCGCTCGAATGCACGGAACGAACGCCACGCCCACTCAAAGGGGAGGAGTCAACGTGGCGAATCCGTCATCCAAGGCGATTTTTGAAGCAATTTCCTTGCTTGGGAAGCAACTCCTGGCAGCGCGAGTCGGGCAAGTATACAGCTGGAGCCAAACTACTGTTATGCATCAAAATTTCATCGACCACAATTTGGGTGGACGGTGCCTTTAAGCATCCTATGCTGGAGCAAGTAAGCTCACCTCCGCTGTTTGAAGGGAATACTGCTGCTCGAATTCCGCCAGTGTTTTTGACGCCATCCCCGATAAGGACATCTGTCAGATATGCATATCAAAACTTTGCATACAAACATTTTATCAGTAAGAATCGGCTCGACTCTGTTTGCAAGAACAACAGAAAAGGTTGCTAACGATTCATTTTCACCAAGAAGTCGAATGATCAATCATAGAAAATACAATTTGTTACCCACATGCCTATATCTACGATCTACGCAGCACTTATATACTAAGATCTATAATGGGCATATGCCCTATTTGCTTCGCAGGTCTTGTGAAGTTCTTGTTTAGCTTGGATGGTCAGGCCTTCGTTTTGACTGGCTGCCAAAAGCTCATTTGCCAATATATCTCTGTAATATAATTCTTGATAAACATGTTATTTCAAACATGCTTTGCTCACTTTAGGTGCGTTTCACCATGCGCAGCCTTCTGACGGCATATATCACGCATCATCTTCATCGCTCTGAATTCCGCTTCGGCCTTCTCAATGGGAAATGGCACTTGATAGGTTGTACCACCTAAATGCATACTCGCATTTCAGGAAAGAAATGATTTTTGAAAAGTAGTCATGCAAGCATAGAATGAATGATATAGCACACGAGAGAAGTCGACAGAGTATCAAATAATATAAGCCCTGGTATGGAAATGTATTCATAGTCTTTTCCTAACAAATAACAAGTCTCACAAAACGTACATCAGAACATATACCAGCTAGAACGAACGAAGTAGCTTAACTCTAGTAACTCCCTGCAGCTTCATGAGTGGATGACAATTCGCTATTGCTTTGCGCGCAATTACAAACGGATCCAATTCAATCTTGTTCTAAAAAGTCCAGAAAATACCCTTTTCCAATGATGATCTTGACAAACTTCCATACCTTCTCTTCTTCAGTTTCAGCCTTACGCCAAGCCTTATACTGCCGCCTTTTGATGATTTCCAAAGCTGCATAAACATGGTGCCGAGCAGTTTCTTTTCGACCACTATTCATTATTACTCGTGTCAGTTTATCTACCTGAATGACAGTTACAAAAGACAACGAAGCTGTACAAAAGCGTCTGATAACGAAAACACCACCCACTGTGTGATCTCTGTAAAACACTGGAGTGTCGTCGCTTTTCATTGCTTTTAGAAATAAAAAGTTTCGTTCATCATTCTCATCCAAAGGTTGATGCATCTGAATTTTGTATGCGAAAGAATGGAGAGCACGATTGACGGATGTAAAAGCTAGCCAAATTGAATAGCCAAAAGCTTTGCAAACCTCTTTGATGTCTGTCACAGGATCTCGAAACAATCGCGGATCATAGCGGTTATGTGATGAACTACTTGTCACTATAGAACGACAAGTGCAGGCTAGCACAGACGGCAGTCGACTCGCCATCAAGCAAAATCGTTTCCAAATCAAGAGGTTTGCGGATTTACACTAGATTTAAAATTGATGATGCTTGACACTTGCATGATAATAGCGAGAACTGAAAGTATAGAGTGATACTCAGCTAAACAGAAATGGAACGGCATTTTACTGGAACGATGAACCGCAAAATCATTACGCGACAGTTCAAAAAGTTGGTACAAGAATCAAAGAAACAAAAACACAAATCAGCAAACACTGAAAATACTCACGCTAATTAGTACTCTTCGTATCGAAAACGAAGTGCTTCCGAAGTACTCTGACACTGCTGTAAACCGTCACACAAATGTGTGATAAATATAATCAGGTACAAAATGACAAAGTGAGGTACACATAATGAGGATGAAAGACATATGTGGCACAAGGCCTCAAAAAATACATGTTGATCGTAGTCACTTCATTACCGCTTACAGTGTTGAAACTTCGAACACTCAGTGGCGAATTGTACACATACTAAAACCTGCACGGAGAAAAAAATCGAAAAAGATCACAGCTGACAAAGCTGGCCTTGATCTCAACAGCGAATAAAGCGGTTCTAAACCCGTATTCAGAACCAGTACCGACCAGAGACAACGTTATAAGATCGTGAATCGATTGATTGGCATGTAAGGATAGGCGCGAAACCGCCCAATTTTGTGACCATGCACGAAAAAGAATTCTCTGAAACATTCATCACAGAACAGCATGTACGGTGATGGGAGACGCTCGCATTCTTCTACGACAAACCTGAAGATAGAGGTTATCAAAATGAGAGTTCAATGGAAACAAAAGATTTATAGTTGGATGTGAGAAAAGACAATGTAGCTTTCGAGCGACAGCGCAACGACCAGGATAATTCTTGTGCTAATTCACAAGGGGTCACTGTTGTTAACAAAAAGGAGACTATATAAGGAAGCGGGGAATAGAATGTTCATATGTCCCAGAAACGAATGAACATAACGAAAAATATGATATGTACTCACGCTGCGTAACCACGTGCGCATGCAGAACAGCGTGTGTCACCTTTCTTTTCAAACACCACCATCGGATAACGGTCTAAATCCTAAAAAACATAAGTGACTTACCAATGTCAAACGATTTTTCATGACTAAGCTACAGGGCTTATCAAAAGCAGTGTCGCTTGCATCAAAATCTCCATTCCCGCGCTAGATTCTGCGTCTTTTCCGCGAACATGCTCTCTAATCTTCCCAGGGCGAAGAAGGCGAAGGCGTGGGAAAGGCGGAGCCTTAGTCGCTTGGAAGTGACTAGAGAGCATGTTACAGTAAGTTCCGACCCGCTTTAGGCGGAAATTGGACTGGCGCGAGTCCGCCTCGCAACAGCTCGCGCCGTCTCGCAGCTACAGTATATCCTATCGTGCTGAGAACCCATGTCTGCGTCTCTTCAATCTTCCTAGTCTTTATTTGGCAAAATGCCAGCGCTATACGCCCGCGAAGCCTCCAGCGATGCGCATGCGCTGCTCCACGTAGAATGTCTCGCCTAATCCGGGATGAAACCGACTGTACGCAGAGTCGCGCGGGAGTGGAGATGCTGATGCAGGCGACACTGCGTTTGGTAAGCCCTGTATGTATAGGCTGCTGCATGACGAAGCCGCAATATCTTCGAGGGCGAACGCGGCTTTATTAGCCGCAGAGCGCATGAGGTGCGGGATCTACATCGGTGAGGATACCCGCGCGTCGCGTTCGCTCCCGCTCAACTAATATCACCATTGCGCCTTCGTCATGCGGCAGCCTTTAGCTTTTCAGCCAAACATCTCTAGATGTATGCGTTTACTGAAAGCATCTGTGATATCAATGGATCAAATGTAACAAGATAAAAAGACAGTATCTCAGATGAAGACACAGCAAAAAATCCAACCGAAATAATCCACACAAAAGATACTCACTTGAACATCCGTTTTCTCCAACAACCGCAGATCATGAAAGATTAGCAAATGCTCGCAGGTTCCCGAGTGTTGGAACACATACGGCTGACCTAACCTAAATAGTTCTTGACTTTGAGTGATAGAAAATAAGAAAGCATATTTACCGCAATTTGAGATCAATCATTTTTACTCCTTCTATATCCCGTGATGTGACTGGATCAAAGCATTTCTTTCTAGCCATGAACTCTCGTATCGGTCTTGAATCACGCGTTTTTTTTTTTTGAAAAGAAGATCAACATGGAAATTCTGTTTTAGAGAGTTTGGATCAAACGATATAATGGAAAATCGCTGAACACGGGGAAACAAAATGACTCAGCAAAATCGAAAATCAAACAACTTACTCGGATATATCTTGTGAATGTGGAAGCGAATAATCCACGTAAAACGTATCATGGATGAATACGAACGATGATGGATACAAGAGCATGTGAGTCTGGAAAAATTTACCTAACTAATGAAAACAACCGTTGCGAATGTTTTTAGAGAATGAAACTAACAAAAATCAGCTGACATACCTTATTCTGGTCGACTGGTTCCAGTTCTTTACCATCCTCCAATTCAACCACTGTGTCACAAATGCACAACTGAAAGAGATAAAACTGAGATATGATATGAGGACAAAAATTGTCTTACAATCTTTTGCCTCAGACTGAGAAGGGTTGAGTCGCCACGCAAGATAAGTTTTCTCTCTGCTGTAAGCTGCAAATAAGTGTAGAAAGCGAGAACACAAAAACTATTGTGAAAAATACTAAAGCAAAGCTAAATGTTTTTGTGTTTTTTGTGTTGAATTTTGAATCACAAAAGCGAAGGAACTCACTAGTCTAGTGTTTCTCAGTTCGTCAGAAGAAAGGATTCTGTTGTGAGGTATGATAACGGTGCATGCAATGATGATATCTTTAGCACAAGGTAGATGCATGGGAGTACTATGGCTTCTTCGAAGCTAAAAGAACACGACAATTATAAATTCGATTATGCTGTCATCCAACCTGCATTCACATCTGTTTACATTCACAAATTTTGAGCTTTTTTTCAGCAAAAAATAATGAAATTGTCCAAGCTGGATTCGGAGCAGAAAAAGGTCATTGCAAACAGTTGAAACTTTAACACTCAAACTCACATCTTTTTCATACATTTCGAACTTGTCGTACTTCAGTGTTCGCAAATAATTAGATTTTCGCTGCGCATTCTTTGCATATTCATTCCTTTCGAGAGCATACCTATGCTACATATTAAAAGGAACCATAATATATATAATAATTACATTCAGCTGGTAAAACAGAATCAAAGCTGAAGTAACGACTCACTTTTGAACTCGCAGCTTAGGATTCGGAGGAATATTATGTATTCCATTGATCTCTTCGAAGGTCCGTTGCTGAGGACAAGCAAGGAATCTTGTTGCTCTAACATTATGAAATGAACAAGAGAAGTAAGCAGATCAGAATCTTGACATTACGAGTAAAAAAAACAATCTGCTTACTGCAAATCGCCGTCAAAAATCTTGTTTGCTGTCCACGGTTTACAGTTCGCAATAGCGGCAAAGTCTTTCTTCATGTCGAATTTACGATCCTCAGCTTTTGTCGTCGCAGACGGATCACGCGCAGTAACCAGAAAGAAATCTATAAACGTAAAACAGTTGTGATACTGCCAACACATAAGGAATGATAGTCAAGTGTTTTGGTGAAAGGATAGAGGACCTTCTACAAAAGCTGAAGATTTCGCTGACTCCATTCTTGTTTCAAAGTCAACAAAAGATTTCCATAAAGCAAAGGAAGATAAGACATACCATCCACTCTCTCTTTGGTTGCGTATGCTTCTTCCAGATATGCGCGAAGATCCACCACAGGGGAGATAAAAGTGTAGAAGTCAGCATTTAGACGTCGATCCATTAATCAAGAGTAATTGTCTATTGATGTTCCAATCTGAATATCGACAACAGTCACACTGATGAGACGAAGTCATTTAAACAAGGATGCTAGACGCCTAAAGGCCAGCTTTGGTGTGGAAAGAAAATGGAAAAGTTTAGGGATCGTTCAGACCACGCCTGTACCCGCCCAAATACGCCCGAATACGTCCAAATACGTCCAAATACGCCCAAATACGTCCGAATACGTCCAAATACGTCCGAATACGCACAAATACGTCCGAATACGCCCAAACCCGCCCGAACGCCGAAACTGCCAATGCGCAGCAAATTGCATGCAAATTGGCATATTGGAGCACGCGTGGAATACTGCGTGCGTGGTGCATATATGGTAGCCACACGTAGCTCGACGTTACATACAGATTTTCATATGCGACTAGCGGGATTACAAAGATCAATCGACTTTGCGTCTGTTTTTATTTCTTCTCATGTTTGCTGACTCTAGGTGAGTTCTAACTTTCGTGCTGTGCGTTTTCTTTTCTTTTGAGCATGACGATCTTGTTGAGGTAATGCTTTGATCTGTCTATGAGTCATTTCTTTCCATATTGATCTGGTGCAATAAAAAAAGCTGCTCCTATCTCTCCTCCAGAGAAAGACAGAAAAATTTGCTCAAAAGCGCCCAAATTTTTCTGTCTTTCTCTGGAGGAGAGATAGGAGTGAAGAGAGATTCAAAAAACTTGAGCGCTTTCGGGCGCTTTTAAGCGAAGTCTGGCCGGGGCCGAAGAGGTATTCTAGTCATCTTTACGCGTTAGGCATACTGTCCCTGTAAAGTATAAACAAAAAGTTGACAACGCACGTACTTAGAAAACAGACAAAGAAAATGTGCATATTCTACTCATTCCAGATCAATATGGAAAGAAATGACTCATAGACAGAACAAAGCATTACCTCAACAAGATCGTCATGCTCAAAAGAAAAGAAAACGCACAGCACGAAAGTTAGAACTCACCTAGAGTCAGCAAACATGAGAAGAAATAAAAACAGACGCAAAGTCGATTGATCTTTGTAATCCCGCTAGTCGCATATGAAAATCGGTATGTAACGTCGAGCTACGTGTGGCTACCATATATGCACCACGCACGCAGTATTCCACGCGTGCTCCAATATGCCAATTTGCATGCAATTTGCTGCGCATTGGCAGTTTCGGCGTTCGGGCGGGTTTGGGCGTATTTGGACGTATTCGGACGTATTTGGACGTATTTGGACGTATTCGGACGTATTTGGGCGTATTTGGACGTATTCGGGCGTATTTGGGCGGGTACAGGCGCGGTCTGAACGATCCCTTAAACCTATACAGTCGGCTGCGCGCTCGCGTCGCGCGTACGTATGCTCTGTGCGCCTAGGGCACGCTTGCTGCCTCGCAGTGCTTGACTAAACAGAGGCTCGATATTGTTGTGGACAACAGTGCGTTGTAGTTATTCACAAGAGCGACTGAAGCTCGGAACAGCAATTTATTAACAGTCCAAGATGAACTTTAACTTAGAGTATCTGTCAACTATTGATTATGAGTTTGCTTTTCTGAGCGATTGCATTTGCTCCGCTAGAACGGAGGGCAAGCGCTAAGCGACACTCTGAGATTCGGTGCGTGCGGCGCTTTGGGGTGTAGGCCGGAAGGCGACAAAACCCAATTGGAGCGAGCGCATAGAGACCACGCCCCTCACAAGCGCCTGTGACACCGAGCGCGAGGTCAGTCACGCCAGGACTGACGCTCTCTCGGCACATGCGCTGGCGCACTATTGGTGACAGCATTCTTCGGAGTTCCTATTGATGTACTTGTTGCCTAGGGTCAAACTACTGGTCAAATATGGGCGAAGCAGTGTACGGAGTAAAAGTGTCACTTGAAACTTCTTTATCTCTTGTTGATACTTGTCCATAAGTTTGGTTGTGCAACTTTTGGTTTCCTCAATTCAAGATTAGAAAGATCAAACATTACAGACCTACGAAACACGTCACTATAGCTTTGAAACAAATGAGAGGACATCGCAATTCATCGTCCAGAAGACGGGTTATAAACAGATCAATTTCTTCAAAAGCGCGTACTTTTTATCTGAGTTTTTTGACGATCTTCATTCTTGTGATTAACGGAAGTCGATTTGTCACATTCAGATTCATAGATCATGCATCGCTACGACTGAGCTTGTCATGAACGGTAATCAGGACATGACAAAGACAGAGCGTAGTATCGTTCAAACAGACAAGATAAATCAAAATGATCACACTGCTGCAAATCAGCTCCCTTTCGGTGGAAAAAATACAAACTTTTTCTGCCGGAAAGCCAAAATTGTCCAATTACTCTACCCGCTTAGCAAACCCGCATTCTGTCCATAATCAATTCTACGACCTTTCTCGTGCTTTTCCGCGCTGTTCGGTCCTACAGTTTGAACAATAATCATTTATTCTCAATGAAAAAAGCAGCGATGCTAACAATAAGAAAAAAAGAATGGTTATTATCATTAACACATTACAGTGCATTGCAAGAGACAGCTGAATTTCAAAAAATGAAGTGCACGAACAATCTCAAAATCGAGATCCCACCGCAGAATGCGTCCTTGCTCAAAGTGCGCCAAATCTTCATCTATGTTTAGCCTGAAGGAAAGCGTATTGTAAAGAGGATGCAAAAGAATAATAGCTCACCTTTACTCGATACAACTGGCTTACAGTACCGTCGTTGAGTGGTCTACTCACATTCTATCCGTTCGGCATCATCAACTTGGACGAGGTCTGCACAAGAACTAATTAACATTTGAAAATATGGTATAGTTAACTAAACACCAAACATATGAAAAAATACAAAAGTAACACATCACTCAAGAACGCAGGTATCTACTAACCTCCTTACTAGGAAGATCTTTTATTGCACTATACATATTGCTGCAGCCTGAAACAAAATTTACTACAAAAGGCAGTTTTGAAGAGCATATGCTTCCAGATAGGCAAATACAAAAGAATGCAAATCATCACATTACCACAGTGAGCAATAACATGCACAAAACAAACCAAAAAAAACAACGTGAGAAGAAACCACGAAGTCAGAGATTGAGAGAGCCATGCGCAATGTGTGTAAAGGCGCCCCAATCCAGATATCCAGAGCATCCTAAGGCACCCGCCATACTTGATCCGCTTAATCCACTTGATCCGCTTGAACCGCTTCGTCATTGGTCGATTTATTGAATTGAGCAATAGCGAAGCGGTTGTCCGCTGATCCGCTTGAACCACTTCATCCACTTCACTATTGGTCAGTTCACTGAATTGACCAATGATGAAGCGGATCAAGCGGATCAAGTGGATTAAGCGGATCAAGTATGGCGGGGGCCTAACAACGGGAAACTCGGACAGGGCGTGGCCACTAGCTGCGCCTGTTCTAAGTCATTTGTCGCCTTCCGGACGTTCCCCGGCGCTTTGTAGTGCGCGCGGACCGAACGATGACTGCGCGCGGGCCGAACGGTGAATGCGCGCAGGTTGAACGATGAATGCGCGCGGGCCGCACGGTATCGAAAGCGCTCCATCCGCAACTCAGACACTCGCTGCGGCGGCGGGCGCGCCATAATAGCGCTACAGTGCGAGCGTCGCGCCCTATTTGAGGCTATTTGAGGCTGCCGTGCGAGCGGCGCGCTTTGGTTGAAGCAGTAGTGCGAGTGGCGCGCCATAGTTGAGGCTTCAGTGCGAGCGGCGCGCCATCATTCGCAGCCAGCGAGCGGCGCGCCTACTCGACATTCGGCGCGGCGGCGGGCGCGCCATTACAGCACTGTATCGCGAACGGTGCGCCCTAGTTGAGAGTGCGAGCGGCGCGCAATTTATCAGTGAGCCGCGTGCCATGATATTTTCCGCATTTCCACACGCTGTAAGCACAAACGATACCCGCGTGAAGTACGACGCAGTGTTTTGGGTGCTTTATCGCTAATTCATTGAGGTTATCGCTGTTTCGCAATGGAGTTGTCTCATTAACACAAGTGGGATTCTTCCAGTTCTTCCACTGAGAGTTAGTCTTCATAAGCACTGCGAGTAGGTGCCGAGTTTGAATTCAAATTTGAAAATTTGAATTCTCGAATTTTTGAAATTTGAATTTTCAAATTCAAGGTTTGGAAACTTCCAAGTTCATATTTGAAATTAAAGCCATTGTTTGCCTGAAATTGAAGGTTGTCAACAGGTCTACTACAGATTCACCGTGATTCGCAGTGCTTGCCGTGCGAGCGGCGTGCCATTATCGTGTGGCGCGCGTTCCATCTACTCACGGCGCGCGTACCACTTACTCGCGGCGCGCGTGCCATCTACTCGCGGGCGCGCCATTTGACGGCCAGCGGCGGGGGACATGAGGGGCCGCACACATAAGGCGCGCGCGCCGCCGCAGCGAGTGTCTGAGTACAAGGCGCCGCACGGGGAGCACGCGCGCGCCGCGCGGACCGAATGTCAGAGCAAGCTACTAGAGAATAAGTCTTTCAGAAAGCTTCTTGTTGTTCTTTCCTCGTGCCGTGAGCATTCTCAACTTCACAGTCCAAAAAATTCCGAATTTAGAAAATTCGAAAACTTAGGCCCGTATGCACTAACATCCCTGCGGCGAGGGGAGCGGCGTCCCTACTGATGAAAAAGCCGCAGCGGCGTTCGCGCACGGCCCCTTCATAACGGGGGACGCCTTTCCCCTCGCCGCAGAAATGTTAGTGCATACGGGCTTTAGAATTCATAGAATTCGGAGGGACGCTGTCGAGGGATAACCTTCGTAGAAGCAGAAAACCTCTCATGTTCCTGCGATCATTCAAATGTCAAGGAATGATAAGCCAGCTCTACGAATGACGGAGCAACTTAGTCACTGCGTCGTACCTCACGCGGGTACCCCTACGCTAATAACGTGTGAGAATTGGAGGCGCGCGGGTGGCACGGTGAGAATATAGTGCGCGAGGGCCGTACGCTAAGGATTCAAGGCGCGCGGGTGGCACGGTACGTGACCCCGCCCGTAAATCTAGGCGCGCGGGCCGCTGCTGGCCATTAGCAAGCAAGCGCCGCACGAACCAAATGTCAGGGCAATACCTGCAAAATGCAAGCAATGTAAAGCCCGTGACTTGCTGTCGAGTAATGTATCGGCCCGACCCCCACCGTCCTGTTTTTGGCGCCGGAGACGTTTTGCGTGGGGAGTTTTTCGGGTGCAAAAAATTGGGTTTGTCGCCTAACGCCCTACACCCGCTAGAACCATTGATGGAAAAGTGTAAGTCCTTTCTTAGATCTATCCTACGCTACTTAGCTAAATGCTTTAATGACGACTAGATACTCTCATCATCTTTCTTCACCTTCTTTAGAACCGTGCAGGATTACCAGTTTCTTATAGGTAGGAAATGTGACGTATATTGAAAAATAAAACTTGAACGGTTCGGCAAGAGCAAATAGTCGTGTTCATAGACAGCAAAAAGGTTGGGTCAATGCCTTTCGAGCTAAGCGAGTTTGTAAGGCATGCGCGTTTCGACGTCTTACTGATTGCTAATTTGCTATGCATTGAGTGGCCTGCATAAAAAATTTTCAGTATAGTGCATTCATCCTCCCCAATGTGAAGATAAGCTTTTTGTGTTTCTCCCTCCCATTACAAAGTGTTACTGCGACTCAACTGACAAGGGAAGGATGATCGGTCGAAGTGGCCTCTTGGAATGAGCTGTATACTAGGAAAGCCTTCCTGGTACGGCAATCTCAAACTACTTTCGCTACTTGCCGAATGGTTTTGTGGAGGGAGTTATTGAGGCCATTGTTCTCCGGCGCAGCTGAGCCGCCTACTAATGAGCGAGATGGTTAAAACGAATGTAGCAATGACGCAGTGGCAAGACAGTGAACTGTGAAGCAAATGCTTGAAGGTTCGAGTCCTGCTGCTGGCGATTTTGCGGTTTTGTAAAAAGTTCATTGGGTGACAGTAAACGAGAAATACTATTGCTATGCAGTTGAAAGAAGCCATTTACTGCAAAAAGCCACTGTTTCGATCAACTATGATCTTCTACAATATGTATCATTCTTTCTCTGACTAAGGGCCGCATGTACTAACATGGCCGCGGGGAGGGGATCGCAGCTCAAAAGAAAGCTTTATATTTCGAAACTCCAGATAACTGGATTTCACGCTGTTTACCTGTCCGTAAGTATTCCTACTATCCTTGACTATGAAAACATGTTGAGCAGGAGAGAGAAGCTGTGCGAACCGCATTTTCCAGCTTTTGTATGATCCGCGATGATCCTCGGCGCCTTTCTTTGAAGTCATTTTTCTTTTCCGAAGTTAACGAAAACCTTCCAAAGTTGTACTGAACATCTGACACAACAGTGCTAAGTATGCTTACGGACAGGTAAACAGGTGAAATCCAGTTATCTGGAGTTTCGAAATATAAAGCTTTCTTTTGAGCTGCGATCCCCTCCCCGCGGCCATGTTAGTGCATGCGGCCCTTAGTCAGAGAAAGAATGATACATATTGTAGAAGATTATAGTTGATTGTAGAAATAGTGACTTTCTGCAGTAAATAGCTTGTTACAACTGCATAGCAATGAGTATTTCTCGTTTACTGTTCCCCAATAAATTTTTGCAAAACTGCAAAACAAAATGGTTGCAACAGGATTCGAACCTTCAACCATTTGTTTCATGTCCGCTGTCTTGCCACT